GAAAGAAAGGCTAAGGCAAGAAGATAGAAGTGGAGAGAGAAGGAGAGTGGGAAATGAGACACACAAAGGAAAAAGAGCAAACGAGTCAGTGTAGAGTGGACACTCCAGTGAAAGTTAGAGGGTGAATAAAAGAGGAGGAGCCTGGGATGTGACAGTCTGGGAGAAAAGAATGAAATCTGGAAACCTGTGAAGGGAAGGTCAGGGCACTGCTTAACAGAATTCCTGGGCACTAATTATCTGCCCTACCAGGGATGAGGCCCTGTGTTGGGTACCCTGTTTCCGTAAAAAGAGGTATTATATACATGCAGTCCATCTTTGCCTTCTGTGATCTTCGTGGTCTCTTTCAGGTTGTATACCAGGGTAGTCCTTACGCACCTCATAACTCCACGCTTTACCTTACCTACAAAACAGGAGTAGAGATGGGATGCTGGGGGCTGTGCATCAATGCAATTTCTTCATCACTCTATTCTTGTAAGTACTGAGGAATGTACTCCAACATTGTTTTGAAACAGTGTTTAAACTGTTAGCCGTTTGCCATTGTTTAAAAAAAAAATAAAGTGGTGCCAAATTAACTGGGGTTTTTTTCCACATTAAGTAGTGTTACATTCTCAGCATTGTTAGAAACTAGTATCTTAACATGAACAGTTCCTGATCACATGATGAGGGGTCACGCTAGGAGTAAGGCATTGTTCTGCATGTGAACTGACCCTGAACACTGAAAATCATCCTGAAGTTCAATATCAGGCTAAAAGAATGCTATGGGCATCATTCTGAGATGCTCTTTCACCCAGCAGTGCTGTAGCCATAGGTTCTCGAAGGTCCCTCTGGTGGCCTCTCCCCAGCTGCATTCCTTGTAAAATAACTTTTTCCCTGTGCAGTAGAAATTCTTGCCAGAAGCATGAACCTTGCTCTCCAAAATTCTGTGCAAATATGCTAGCACAGTTCCCCAGACAGATTTCACCATAGCTCTTACCAAAGATTAAAGGAATTATTTGTGATCCAAAAACTCAAATGAGTAGCATTTGGGGGCTGAATTGAGCATCTAAAAGAGACTTGAAGGAAATCTTTTCCCCTTTGGAGCTCAGCTACTGTCATTTCTGCAGCGCCTTTCCCAGCTTAGAGATTGATGCCAAATGTCCGTATTATAATCAAACAGCGGAAATGTCTGAGGTTGCCAATGAGGGCTGTTCTTCCAGAGTGCTGGTTAACTACTTCTTCTCTGGAGTTGACTGTGCCAGAAGAAAACTATCCCCAGAGACAGCAAGTATTCTTTGGAGAGTTTATACCTACAAAAATTTGAGGCAACTTCCAATATCAGTAACGTTATCTCTTTGCATTGCATTTTACAAAATAAAACCCCTTAAAGGAACTCCCTGATGAAATGTGACCTGTTTTGTTTCAGTCTTATCAGCATTTTCACTTTCTTTTCACAGACCTGCAGAAAATACTTCTGCCATACATAGGATTAAAGGGACTTTATTTCACCGGATATCTACTTTTTGGATTGGGTACTGGATTAATTGGCTTGTTTCCCAATGTCTATTCCACTCTGGCTCTATGTTCACTCTTTGGCGTCATGTCCAGCACGCTGTATACAGTGCCATTCCACCTCATTGCAGAGTATCATAGGGAAGAAGAAGTAAGTTCAATGTCTGAGGAAGGGTAAGTTTGTATCTGCCTGGGTCTGTTTAGTCTATTTTGGCAGAAAACTGGATAGAACTGGTGAGCAGTTTTTAATTTTGATTTCAAACTATTTATCATGACACATGTTATGAATGGAAAGTTTCTGACAGAGAGAGTTAAGGTCCCAGCTGCAAACTCTCTGAACAGTCCTGCAGTGAGACAAATAATTATTTAGCATCACAACTGAAACAAAGGCAATCACAGTACGTGTTCAGGCAGTAAGCAGATAACAGGGCTCCACTTGTGTTGCCTTCAAGCACTACCTTCCTTATATCCTTCCTTCCAGGTGTGTTAGCTGAGGACTTGACTTCTGAGTTCCTAAAGTTAATAACCATACTGTAAAGGCTTGCAGAATTTTTAGTTAACTGCAAAGTGTAACAAAAGCTGTTAGCTAATAAAGATAGGAAATTCAAGTACAAACAATTTTATACAGTTCAGTATTAAATTATATACCACATTCTCTCTAAATGTCCAGGGTTGGTTTTCGGTCCTCCACAGCACAAAATCCTGTTTCCAAGGAAAATCTGTAAAAGCTTTCATTCCTTATATCATGTTTCTGAGCACAGCAGGATCTTTATGTTTTGTGCTCTTTAATGGAAAAGTTCTCTCAAGTCTCTTAAGTTAGTGAGAGAGCTGGAAACAAGAAGGATTAAGGACAGTTGGGAGGGCTTAGGGAAAGTTCTCATTGTATCTGGGGACATTTGAAGAAATTAATAAAGGAAATGTTGAACCAACATAGAAACATAGCTGAGATCAGCACAGGGCTAAATCAAGTCCTTGAGAACACGTCCTGCTGTTCTGTACAACTTTTAAGCATCACCATCTGAATGATGAATATGAAAATAACTCTGAATTATTCTACTGAATCCTAGGAGGATGTCTCAATGTGGTAAAATATTTCCTAGATGTGATTCCTAACTTTTTCGTTAATATCTCTGTTCCTTCCAACAGAGAATGATCATGATGAAGAGTTTTAGAAAGCTAAAACAAAGGACAGGGAACGAACCCAGTTTAGGGTGTGATCACAATCCTAACATTGGGCCTGTCAGCTCAGAGGGGGGGAGTAAAGGCAAAACTGTAGTCTAGCTTTGATTCAGAACTGTTCTAAGACAGAGTTGAAACAAAATATGCTGAAGTGTGCATGTACTTTTTATTTAATAGGCTAATATATTCAAGTGTTACTTGTGTGACGAGTGATTGTTTATTGTTTGGTATATTTTACTTGCTATGCCAGATGTTAAATGATACATAATTCTATGTTAGATCTGGTATTAGCAGAATTAGGTTTAGCTCAAATCTTCTATAATGTACAAGATAGGAAAAATAAAGAGGAAACATCAAGTGCAAGATTGTATTCATCTACACATTCATATAATTGTGGTCAGAACTGCTGGCACCTATGTGCCAGAACACTGGGCACAGTCCAGCAAAACAGATATAATTCCAACAAAATAGTGTCTTAAAATTAGAAATACTTCAGGTAAAAGGACTGTATCATTCCAGAACAAAGAGCAGACATTTTCCCTCACTATGCATTCTACCAAAATCATGTGCTGAGTTTTAAAATGCTGCCATTTCAACTCCTGTTCCGTGCTGCTGTTCCCTAGGATCCAAATTCAGTTTTGTCTACTAGATTAGGAAGAGACTGTTTGTCTCCAGTACTTTTCAGCTTTGTGTGGTAACAGTTCACAGGCAATGTAATAGGTCTTGCGAAAAGCCAAAAATCATCTTAATGGCTGAGAGTGTTTGGATACCAGAAGACAGCAGCACAGCTAGCCTACAGCAGAGAAACCTCTTTTTTGTTACAATACAACCTTCTCCATTCAACAGCCAGTGCAAGAAGAACAATAAATATGTGAACTATCATGCCATTTTCCAACAAAACAGAATAGTTCCTTCCTGGAGGGAATCACAGAACAGCTGAAGTTACAAGGGACCTCCAGAGATCGTGTAGTCCAACCGCCCTGCTCAAGCGCAGCCACTTGGAGCAGGTTGCCCAGGGTCGTGTCCAGTCTGGTGTGAATATTTCCAAGGACGGACAATCCACAACCCCTCTGGTCAACCTGCTCAACCTGGTCAACCACCCTCACAGGGTGCTTAGTGCTTACACACAAGATCTTTGTATATAATATATGAACTCTCACTCTGCTACGTATAGGATAGCAGATACACAGATAATCAGTAGTTAATAATGGTCTTTGGTAGTGTAGAAGAATCCTAGTTAGGACATTTGTTTTCAGAATATATTTTTTTTCCACCAGCAATAAAAGCATTACATTTCAATTTTAATACTGAACTGCTTTACGTGCTTTTAGCCGTAACTTCAGAACAGTGCTCCATCATAACGACCTATGCTCTGTATGTGTGTGGGACTCAACATCCTTTGAGGCTCTCCTTCAACCATGAGAGTTAGAGCTAAGTTGTCCATGATGAGGTGTCCTGTACTGTAAAACGTCAGCTTTCCAGAGCTCAAATAGACCTGAACTTCAAGGAAACAGCTAATTTTTCTGATCAGGTTTCAATTCTTTCCTTGAGAGAAGGGATAGAGGGAAAAACTGCAGATGGGAGAAACGGGACAATTTGAGGGGAGCTTGGAAAACTCATTATCACTTGTAAAATCTCTGTTTGAATTCCATAACCTCTGTGGGACAAGCAGAAAAGACAGAAAGGAAGCAGAGAGTTATTGGCCTGTCTTGCTGCACTGGGGGAGCGCTGCATTGGCGGAGAGCTGTAAGTTGTCAGCACCGTCTCGTTTCACTGGGTTTTGTTTTGTGCTTATTTGCAGATCCTGAAGCTGCAGGATGGGGAACAAGCTGGAGAGCACGGGCGAGGGAAGGGCATCGACTGTGCCGCTCTTACTTGCATGGTCCAACTGGCCCAGATCATTCTTGGTGTGGGCCTGGGGCTCTTGGTTAGTGTTGCTGGCAGCGCAGTCACTGTGATTTCAGCATCTATGGTGGCACTGATCGGCTGCTGCTTTGTTGCTTTTTGCGTTCGATTTGTGGAGTAGGACTGTGTGAAGCAATTGGAAGAAATCTCCCCAGGGGAGCGTTCTCTTTCTGGGTCAGTAGTACTGGTGCTGTTGCCGTGCTGATGCTGCTGGCACGTCCTCCTCTCTTACCTCCTCGGAGTGGTTGCAATTCCAGAGCTTTATGAAACGGAGACTTGATAGAACTGGTTGCCTAATGCCTCAGATT